AGAGACAATAAGACTACACTACTATAGTGAACGCGTACCGAGTGTTAACAAGCGCGCTACGACGCGTTAATTAGTTACTGCTCTTTTAAAGACTCTACCTCTTGTTCCTTTATCCTACTAAGGCCTCGAGGCCTAGGCAATCGACGAGAATGCGCGCGCGCGCGTACGAATAACGGTGTATTAGAAGATAGCTAGCGCGGCTATATTAGTAATAGTGTTACGGAGTATGTTGCTATTCGAGAAAGGAAGGACACCGCTATATTAGTAACGGTGTTATAGAGTATATTACTATTCGAGAAAGGAAGGATACCGCTATATTAGTAATAGTATTGCCGAGTTGTTATTAGTCGAAGAAGGAAATCGAAAGCAAGGTAAAGTTAGCGCTAAGACGACTAGCGCCGCTATTGTCGACATTACTTACTATTATTACTACGCCTATAGACACAACCTTACCTATACTACGAGCCTAAGGCACCTTAATTAAACTTTGATTAAAACTTTAAGGCTAAGTTAAAACTTTAAGCCGCCTAAAAGATTGAGCGACTAATAGACTAACTAAGGGCAAAACTATAGAGCTAAGCTAGCCGGGGTCGATCTTGCGGACAATAGGTTACTCCTCGATCTATCTAACCCTTTAAGCGAGGCGAACCTCTACTACTATACTTATAATAGCCTTTACTTATAGAAACTAGACGAGCTATGTTTTTTCTAAAAAGATAAGATAAGATTAACAATTAAAGGCTGCTAAACCTAACTAATTAGGGCTAGCGAAACTACGAACAATAATAGCCCTCGTAATAATAAGAATAAACCCTCGGAAGCGGACAACCCTCGGAAGCGGACATAGCTAGGTCTTTTAGAGTAGACGCAAAGAACTCGGTACGATATTACGTAGAACGGGGGCAGTGCTACAATACCCCGTATACCTACCTATTGTAGTAGGGAAGGTGCGCTCGTATTGTAATTAGTCGATAGTCCTTAATTCTTATAGTTATATATCACTTTATTATATATAGGGATAGCGCAGTTAGAGTTAGACATTGTGCTATATTAGAGGTAAGGTTTGATATAGTTATATAATCGGTAGTTGTACGTTTAATTCAGCGCGGACTAAGCGGCTTATTAGACCTACTAAGTTAGCGGCAATAGAGGTTAAGACTAGGACAAAGACCGGCTACGAGGGCGCGGCCTTTAGAAGGGAAGCGTATATTAGGACCAAAGAGGTTATACGTAATTAGCATATAACCGGGCTCGAGTAAAGCTAGGGTCTTAATGCCTTAGGCAGGGCTTAGCGCTTAGCAATAGGCTAACTTGCCTACCTTCCTCCCTCTCCTCCTAGCTCCTTATCGAATACTACCTGTACCTACTACTACCCTATCTACCTACTAACAGACCCTTCTTACACTTAGCGCTTAGCAATAGGCTAACTTGCCTACCTTCCTCCCTCTCCTCCTAGCTCCTTATCGAATACTACCTATACCTACTACTACCCTATCTACCTACTAACATAACCCTTCTTATAATACCTAAATAAAATTTTTTCTATCTTAAATTATATTCTCTAGTGTTTCTAGTAAACCCTAAATATTTTATAAACAAAAGCTCCTAAGTTAGTAAAGAAACTTAGAAAGTTAGTAAAAATCCCTAAAGTCTATAAATTAACTACCGTTACTCCGCGGAAAAGCTCTAGGCTACCGCGTTATTTCCTCCGTTTCCCTTTTTTCTCCTAGTCTCCTAAAGGTCCGTCGTTCTCCTCGATTTGTCTATATCTCGCTTCGAAGTCGTTAAGTGCTAAGGTATCCGCGATATAGTCTAGGGGTTCCTACGTAGGTTTATAGTACCCGCTCTATTTTACGAGCGCTTCTCGTCCCTAGCTCTACTTCCTTTTCCGAGTATATAAAATTTCTTCGACCTACTATTCTTTATATATCTCGAATAAAATAGAGTCCGGCTATTCGTCGTCGATTACCTACCCTAGTAGGGGGTCTCTACTCGCAAGTCTTAGAAGGTCGGTATAGAATACTAGGTAAATATTACTAGGTATTTCCGAGAGTTATACTAAGATAGGCGATAATACCTCTTCGACCGTATACTTAGGCTAAGACTACGTTAACCTTAGTTAACTATCGGGCCTCCGTTAGGTTCCTTATAGTATTCGGGATTAGTAGGAGGGGGTATCGGTCTTGCTTCGTAAGGGTATTAAGCGCCCTATAGTCGGAGTAGAACCGTAGTCCTCCCCTAGGTTTCTTAATAAATAGTATAGGCGCCGCCGCTTCGGAGTTCGTAGATCTTATAAACCCCTTCTTTAAGAGCTCGTCTAGCGACTTTTATAAGACTAAGAGTTCTTATTTCGATATACTATAGAGCGGGCCCTAAGGGAGTTAAGGCTAGGATCCGTCTAGTTTCTTCTAGAGTTCTATCGTATAGTCGATACTAGGACGATAGGGCGCTAACTTATCGGCTTCCTTTTAATAAAATAGCGCGGCTATATCGCGAACCTCCGGGGGTAATTTCTTCTTTAGCTCCTCGATCGTCGGGTATTCCTTCGTCTTTAGAGCCTTTTTAATATTCTCGGCAATTATCGTAATAAGTAGGCTTCTTATAGCGTTAATCGTAGCGATATTCCCGTTCGTATCGACCTTGCGGTAATAGCGCCCTTCTTTAATCTAATACCGAGCCCTCCTATAGTAGTACCGTCGTTTCTCGGGCGTAGTCCTAACCTTGTTATATACCTTCTATAGGTTCCCTAGAATAAGAGGGAAAGCTAATCCCGGTACGACGTAAGCGTATACCGTTTATTAGAATCTGTTAATTTCTATCCGGAAGGCGACGACTCCTATAATTTTCGCGTCTTATATCGTAGATAACGCTCCTTTTACTTCTCGGGACTTACGGCTAATATAGCTAAGTCCGAGGCCTTTAGCTAGGCCCGTATTAATTGTAGCGTAATACTAGTATCCTTCGTTAATAAGAGTAGAAGTTCCGACGTTATTTTCGAAGACTATATCGGTATATATAAGATTCCCGTTTATATCCTTTTTAACTTCTTCTTATTTCTTTACCCGTACTCTATCTACTCCCGACTCCTAACTACGAGCAAGAGTTACTCTTTTCCCGAGTCGGAACTACTTAAGTCCGACTATTCTTCCGTATTCTCTAGAATAGGTTATACGGAGGCAATACTAATCTTAGTAGACTAAGCTAGCGGAGCGTACGGGCAATCTCGAATACGGTATCCGCTCGCTCTATAGCGGAAGTAGAGTCTTTTCTCCTTACGCTTCTCTCTTTCTATAGAGTCGACCTATTTAGCCCTAGGTTTCTCTACTATCGATTATTAGCCTTTACGGTTCTTTCTACGGGAAGCGTTAGTTTAAGCAAGGTTTATAACTACGTCTCTATTAGAGTCGACCTTCGGGTTCGCCGCGGGAGCCGTATAGAGGGGGATAACTACCGTAGGACTCGCGGCTTCTTTCTTCCTTTCTTACTAGCGTTTCGTAGCCTATTTAAACTAATCTATCGACTCGAGGTTCGTTATAATCCGCTCGACCTCTTCTATATAGAGGTAGTAATCCTTAATTTTTAGTATAGCGGTAGTATAGGTCTTAGCCGCGTTCGAGAAGGTATTCTTTAAATATCTAATTTTCGTATCGTCGGTCTAATAGTCTCTACCTACGCTTAGTAGGAGGCCGTCGAATTCTAGCTAGTAGTCGTACTAAGGTTATCCCTAGGAGTACCTTAGGGCTTAGAGTTGCTCTAGCGCCTTTATAGCTTCGTTACTATCCGCGAAGACGTCCTCGAGTTACTAGAAGAAAGCTTCGGGATCCTTTCCTTTCGTAAGGCTTCCTCTTTCCTAGAAGTAGCGTATCCTAGCGTATTCCTTTACTAGTAGGGTATCGTATACGGTATTCTAGTAGTAATCTTCGGAGAGCTTCGGTTTTAGCCTAGAACGAACTCGGTACAAACTTCTTAGTCGTAGTAGGTAGTCCTAGAACGACTTAGCTTTCCTATCCTACGATAGTAGCTTCTACTCGCGGGACGCCGTTACGTTTTAGCTAGTAGCCGAGAGAGTTTCTAGTAGTCCTTTTAGGATCTCGTTCGTAGACTAGTCTCGTACTAAACTAGCTTCGGGAGGCCTAGGCTAGCGAGACGCTTCCGCGTATTAGAGCGCAGAGCGAGTAGCTTATAGCTAGGCTTCTATCGTCTATTATCTAGTATAGAGACTCTCGAAGGTACGATAAATCTCGTCCCTAGACCCTAGTTATCTCTAGTACGGTAGAGGCAGCGTTCCCCTAGCTATCTTACTCGGGTTCCTAATAAACCTTAGCGTTTCTTATATTAAAGATCGAACCTAATATTACGGATAAGCAACGCGTACGTAGATACTAGATATAAGACTTAATAGGTTCGATAAAGAGCTAAGTCTATCTACGTAAATCTGAATAGTTTTGTACGGTACGCTAAGCGCTAAGTAGTAGGTTAGAGTCGCGTAGGCCGAATGCCTAAGGCTAGCGCTTTCTACCTAGGGCGTAGCCCTTTATACTATCGTTTATACCGAAGTTACCGAAATAGAAGGGAGGATATTCTACTAGTATATAGTTAGTCGTCTACTTAAACCGTACCGTACCTTACTTATATATATATATATAGCAATATCTACATTCTAGTATAGAATTTTCTATATAGTATCTCGTATAACTTGAAATTAGTAAATAACGCTATAAGTTAGCTAGTATTTTAAAATAAAAATTAAAAAAAACAAAAAATTAATAAACCCCCGGTAGTAATATATATATATATATATATATAGTAAGAATTTCTATTAGAAAGCTACGAACGAGAAGAAAGAAAGAAGAAAAAAATTTTATTACTAGAATCTAGATTAGGTACCTAGTAGTACTAGTAGAGTTTACTAGTACTATTTTAATTCCGCGAAAGAGGAAGAAAAAAAAAACTAAAGTAAGAAAATAAAAAATATTATATAGTAATTTTTTTTAGTAGATTTACTATATAAGGATAGGAGGTAGGATAGGAGGTATATGAATTTTGTTAGGTAGGTAGGTAGGTATATATATCTCTATCTATACAAAAAGTTAAAACGTTGTTATAGAAAAAATCTATTTTCTAAAATTCTGCCCTAAGATCTTAAATTCTAAAATGCAAATTCTCCTAAATTAAACCTTTACTCTTCCTCTTCCTCTCTTCTCCCTTCTTTCTCCTTTATCTCAAAAGTTTTGGGGGAAAAAAACACACACCGTCGCAGCACTGATTGCCGCCGGCTATATAACATCCATACATCATTATATCATCATATATCAATCATCCACATGTGCTTTTCTTTTCCTTTTCCATAAATCGTCATTGATATCACCTACAACATCATACCTTCCGACTTGTCTCACATTCCTGAATGCCTGCGCTGCATGCTTCATTAGTAATTACGTTCTTCCTCCTTACAGCGATCTCTGCATGCTGCTCAGTGGTAATGTCTGTACTGGGCTGTGAGTCGACTCATGCCGTGGGGCTGTATGCGAAGTTGTTGCTCGTGCCTGATGTGCTTCGTGACATGCTGTGAGCACCTGAGTAGGAAGTGCTGCGCGACATAGAAGCGCCAAGGCCGGAGTCGGAGCCAAGATGGTCGGAACGTATATGTCGCTTTAGATTATCCGATCGAGAGTATTTTTTCGGGCAATATGGGCAGAAGTGTTCGGTGTCGAGACCTAGATGTACTTTGTCGACGTGTCGGCCAAGGTCTTTTGGAAACACGAAAGCCTGGTTACAGCCAGGCCTCTCGCACCGATGCGGACGCTCCGTGTGTACATTCCTGATATGGCGTCTACGAGGTCTGTCAGCATTGTTTATGCGATTGAAAAGGTGAGTAAGACTTACTTCAGGGCGTCTGGAGACTTGAAAGTATGGCGGCATATATTACAAGCATGCGGGAGGCTAGGGTCGTAGCGTGCGTCCCCAGTCCTGCGAGTAGAGGCGAAGGACGCCTCTGACAGGGTTCCGGGCGAGGTAGGTGTGCTTGGGTATGGCCCTGGCACAAGCGATGACGGGTTTCTCTGACTGCCACGCTCAGTTCTTTGCACAAACGCTCCTATGTCTCTCGGGTTGGGAACTCTTTCCGGCTGCAAAGCGGCATCCATCATGCCTGCTGGCACTTGCGGCAACGATCCAGTGAGCGATACGCGATGAGGAGAAGCCTGAGGTGGAGCCATCGATCGTGGAATAGCGCATGACTGAGACGCTTGAGTGCGCGGCGGCGAAGAAGCGGTGTTCGGCGAGGCTCGCTTTGCGGTCGACTGCGCAGAACGCATCGACGACGGCAGATAGGCCTGCTGTGGTGTCGCCCGAAGTCGAGCATTCCCCTTGCCCTGCGGTGTTCCATGTGTCCGACTGACCTGCTGAGCAGGCTGCTGAACGACCTGGGCATAGCTTCGACTTGTGTCCTGCGGCATCGAGCTTGACGCAATCCAATCTGCGACTTCTTGAAATTCTTGACCTCGTCCAGAAGCACCTGCTTGTGCTTGAGTCTGTGCCTGTACGACGTGGCTTGTCGCTCGATGGTTGGTAGGTGGATGAGTCATGAACATAGGCGATGGGCTTCGAACGACTTGTGCGTATGTGCGGCTGGGCGAGAAGGACGAGTGAGAGCTGTGGGAGTTCACGAGGGCGTTGAATGCCTGTCCTCTGATCTCTGCTGGGCTCGTGCGAGGTGCAAGCTCAGTGTTGACGACGGGTCCTATGACATCGCAGTACGTGCAAAGTTCGAAGAGCATTCTTGCGTCGGAGCAGTCAGGTCGATGACGGTTCATGTTCTGAGATGTGTTAGATTCGATCCAGCATTGGAAAGATTTCGGATGCAATGCGAACCTCGATCATGTCATTTGCTTCCAGCTCTGGAAGGCCTGAGCCGATATGGATAAGAGCTGTCATGGCTACAGCGAGGTGTAATGTGTCTCTAAGAGAATGAGACGAGGTTCAACGACAAGCATATATATCCAAGAGGTCGCGTCGCGGCCGCCGCCCTCTCGCTAACAGGAGCTCCAGGCCTGCCCAAGCTATTGGCGGTGCGCGGCCGAGCGAACAGAGGGCGCCGCCAGTTGTTGGATGGCAGCCAGCATACGACTTCCAGAAGAGTGTCGTGTGTGCAAGCAGACAAGATGGACAATTGAAGATTGCGACAAACGACTGCGCACTGCTCAGTGCAGTGATGACCGCTGCGGACTAACGCGGAGGCCGCCTTCGCGTGCAGCATTGGAGCGAGCGTGATGCCGACTGTAGCCGGGACCAGAGCGACTCGCCCAGTGCATCTTTGCACGCTGGACCAAGTCGACTTGGAGATGTTGACAAGCTGCGCCCTCTGGACTCCGGTGAAGGCAGAGAGGAGAGCTTGCTGCGAGGTGTACGGTAAGGTGAAGGGGTCGCCGGCGCTTCGCAACCTACCTGACGTGGCCCGAGCCCTCCCCCGGACCCCCGCCCTTGCTGTTCGAGAAGGGCGCTAGAACATCTCACCTGACGCTACGGAACGACGTCGGGGGACATGCATCAAAACCTCATCCGGTGGCTGTGCTCTTCTCCTTCTCCTGCAACAATGGGTTGAAAAATGGCGCAACGCAACTTCGATGACTGGACAGGAAAACTCACTCGTTTTATCGGATCATCGGTGTGGCGCCCAGCAAACTGGACTTCTGAAAAGCGATGCGCGCTACAGAAGGCGACGAGAAGCTCTTCAGGGCGAAAGACGGTGATGGCAGCATGGCACGGGATCATTAGAATAATGGGGCAGCGCCAATCTGCGTGCTTGCTCTGGCCCTGGTTGGGCAAGTCAAGACAACAATATCTGACTCAACGGTGCTGCAATTCTGTATCGTTCCCCGCATCGAAGCGCTCTCGTGTGTCTGTCATACAAATGGGTATCTCCAGTTTGCGCCGTATGCCTCCGAATAACCCGTCCCAGAAACGCCAGGAATCTGCAGCAGAAGATCGTATATAACCACCATGCACCTATATGAAAGCGCACAACCTTTCTTTTGCTATGCCGCAATGAAGTCGTGAAATGAGAAGCTGCCATATCTTCCTCGCTGTCGGCGGGGGTTTTGTTTGTTCGTAAATGAGAATCATGTTGTTCGTGATATTTTCGAGGATCAAGACTGATTCAAATCATTGCGAGATCGACACTCATGAGGCGAATCAATTCGATCGATGATGCTGGGTGTGGACATGTCGATCGAGATGATCCTGTCTCCCAAAGCCTTTGGTGTTATATTTGCACCCGTGGAATGGGCAGTAGAACTTCGGTCGATTCGGGTCGTGTCGGGGCAAATGGCGCATCAAGTCCTTTCTGTATTGAAAGCGCTTATTGCACATTTGACAAACGTGGTTTCGACTGAGATATGGTTGATGAGAACGCAGATGATGCGTCAGATCACCTTGCGTGGTGAATGCTGCGTTGCAATAATGACAATACATGTCTCCAAACAACATTGGTGTCCTTGCCCGACGAGGCGACCTTGAAGATGAGCCTGCAGAGGAGGCCGATGAAGGCGAGCGATGCAAAGGCGACCAGTCCGGAGGCGCGAGACGATTCGTGTCTACTTTGAGTGTAGGCATGGACGTCCGCTGCCCGATAGTGGGCGCACGACCAATCCATCCTAGCATGCTCCCAGTGGAATGTTCTTCATTGAGGCCTGCTGGGAAGTTTGGATTGTGGATGTTTTCGGAGTTGATGTGCATCGGATCGCTCGTAGACAACATGTCAGGCATGGCGTGGAAGGACGTCGAGTGAGGCAGCGAAACTGATTGCAGCATCTGAGGCTGTTGGGGTGGAGCGCTGAGCTCTGGAAAGAACTGTTCTAGATTGCGGTCCATAGATGGCTCAGGTTGATGATCGATTGGCATAGGCTGGGAAGGATACTGCGCAGTAGACATAAGAGGCGCGTCTGAGTACCCTGAGTATTGTGATGAAGGAATTTGTTGACTTGACGTCTGTAGCCTCAAGCTACGTTCAATGCGATGTGCCATTTTCGAGAACAAGGATTGCCGCGAGTCAATTCTGCTGTCTTGAAAGCTGTTTGGGATGGCGCCCCGTTCGTAGACCATCGGTGTGACAATGGACGTCTCGTTTGTGACTGGCTGAGCTGTCGAGGATATAGACTGGTCCTGAAAGCCAACATACGGGGCGTCAAAAAGCGAAGAATGACCGTCCATACTAGATGCTTGACGTGGGTGTGATCGAGGTTGCTGAAGAGACTGCTGTCGCGAGCACAAAGGCGGACGAGGGGATAGCGATCCACGATTCGTTCCAGTCATTGGCGACGAGGTCTTGAAATGCGTGTCAGCACAGATTGAAGCACCAATTGCGCCCTTAAGACCTACCATCTGTGCGAAATGCGCCTGCGCTACGGCAGCATTGAAGTGACTTCCCATGTTGGCAAGCCAGGAGAATTCCATGTGCTCCAAGTCTTCGGTTCCATGAGGGTGAGCGCTTGCAAGGACCACCAGCGTGACAAGAATAATAAGGACGGTTATTGAGCGAATGTTGGAACAGCTCATGGATGGGTAAGGCGTCGATGAGTGTCCAGCCCAGCGGAGGCAATGAGGTGAAAGCCACAGGGAATAAGAGACATAGACTCAAGACGATCGCTTACCTTTTATTCGAAGCAGATAGCGTGCTGTGAGGCCCGTACATTGTTACGTGTGTGTGGGTGCTGGTCTGCAGCAGGGCAGGGCCTTGACATGTGAGGCGCAGGGTGCTCTTCGGCGGACTGATGGCGCAGCACTGCCTGATGAGGAGCCTGACAATGCGGCACCAACCATGCATGCCATAGCTTTCGTCTGTATCGGGGAGTTTGATGCTTCGCAAGCACCATTATGCAAGCTAGAGAGCCGCGCGATGACTTTCCGGCGCGTTGTTGAGATTGTAGATGGGAAAGTGAAGTGGCATCGGCAAAAAAGCAGAGTCGATTCGAAGCAGTGGATGGATACAAGCGAGCCAATCATTCCCTTGCTGACAGAGCCAGGATCCCCACAATGCTTGTACAGTACTGGCGGCGCTGGGCTGGTCCGTGTGTACCTGGCGGCTCGGCTTCTCTCTTACTTATCGTTACAACACCACTTCCACTTCCACTTTCTACCCTGCAACACTCAACACCACTGTATATCGCATTCTCCAAGCGCTGCTCGAATTTGTCGACAATGACGGGGAGCTGCCACCGGCGTCATGCAGCCCTGTGCCACTACCAATAGTTCTAATCACTTCCTTGGCGAGCAAAATCGTGGCTAGGGTTGTGGTCTTGACTTCCCAGCATCATCATTGCGCGATCACAAGCCTGACGTCGGACTTCCACACCTATCATCATGCCGAAAGGACGACCGCCAGGCACAGAATACGAATGACTGGCTGCGCTTGTGTGTCTAGTGCGGCTGGGAAGGCTGTGCTTGCAGCCGGGGAACTACAGCTCTCTGCACAGTAATAAAGCGTGATTTTTTCCAACGAACGGCAGCAGCAAGGATGTGATGCAGCACAACTATCGTTTGTGGCTTGAAGCTCTTACATTTCTAGTGTTATGTATTCTGTGCCGTTCAGAAGTGGCTTCTGCTTGTGGCTGCCAATTTGGATACAGTTCTCACAAGGACGGGCATTCCCTTCGAACATCGCTTGCGAGGAATGCCCGCTCCAAGGAATGATCGTCAGGCACGCAATACAACTGCCCGAGTCGAACTTACTTCTATGCCTGGCACAAAGAGCGAATCGACAGATAGAGGAATAGGGATGTTGAAGATAACTTGATTGCGCGCAAGTTTCCGCCGCTCTCATAAGCATTCTCGATAGCAGTGCTCGACATGCTGACATAGACACGATAGCAGCCAGGAGACACGGAGTCAATGTGAAAGGTCAAAGCTTGATAGAATGACGATGGTCATAGCAAAGGCGGCATTGGATATTCTACATCTACATCTAGGATCCTTGAGCACTGCGCCTTCCATCCTCTATAACGCCCCGAGCAATACTAAGACTCATCTTATTGATGCGAAAGCTTTTCCCGATTTTCTTGGTCCTGTTCTTCCATGTCTACTAACGCCCCCCGCTTGAACGCAGGAAAATGCTATAATCCACAAATGATGCTCGCTGGCTGATGTACGGTCTGGAACATGATCTAAGCTGGCGTGTTTCCTCTAGTGCTGTTGCGTGCGGACTGGATGCCGTGGACTTTGTTGAGGTGTCTGTCCAAGTGGTCCTGGCGATGGAAACCTCTCGTATGGTATTTACAGTGTAGAATGGTGCACATCAAGTGGCGGTCGCGCGGGTTGTGAATCTTGGTGTGGCGCTTCAAGTCTTTGGGGAAGTGGAAACCTTTCCCGCACACTCCGCAAGCGTGGTCTCGATTCCCATGGTATCGCTCATGATGGTCCCTATCTGCTTTCGTGGCGAAGGTTTTGGGACAGTCGTCCTGTGTGCATGTGAAGGAGGCTTGACTTGCGGAGCGCTTCTTTCTAGGCTGTGCGACTTCAGCCGAATGAAGATGATCTCGAGAGGGAATCGTCCCCATAGCGTTGGGAATATATGGCCCATCTTGCACCCAGCCCTGCATGTTGTGCACAGCAGCGATGCCTGCCTCGGCACCATTGAAGTTCAAGGCAGGAGCTGTGGCCTCCACACTGAGAATAGAATATCTTGGGTCGGCATTCTGATGTTGTGAAGCTTGCTGCGATTCCGGTGTCGGCGAGTCAAAAGCTGTATAATATGGTTGGCGTCGATTTTGTGCAGACGCCGCTGATGTTGGCGTGAGATATCCGTCATATAGGTCCCTCTCCAAGCGGCCCATGTTGGCGTTGCGACTTTCTTGGTCATGGTGGTGAGGCTGACGTTGCAAATTGCCTTGCCAGTCCATCCCAGGTTCAAAGGTAAATGCCTCTGCGTTCAGTCTGTGCTGTGAAGGCTGAGACATTGGCGGTGTGGGCAGCATAGTAGTATTGAGGCGGCCGAGGCGGCGTGTCGGCGTTTGAGTCTGAATGGCATCGTATTGTTGGTGGTGCAGAATAGGCTGGTGTGTATGCGCGGTCGGGCTTGCGTATGGACCGGTCGACAAGAAGTCATTCTCTGCATTTTCAACCTCGTTTTGTATTCGTACATTGGAGGCGTCATCAAGCTCGAATGGTGCGTCTTCCATGCCCTCATCTCTTCTCAGCGCAGCGCCATGCCCGAATGTTGTTGGATCTAGAAGAGCCGGATCGATGTAGTCTGTGCTCCCTCCCCAGGTCTCTGAGCTGCTTGCAATAATGTCGATATTCATGTTGTTGGGCCAGATGACATGCTGCTGGTCTTCGTCTTGATTTGTGTGGTCCAGCATCATTGCGTCGGAGTTGGCGTTGAGAGCGTCCATAATGGTGGTGTTGGATTGGTCCATGCCACCAGGTGGCGCAATGCGTAGCTAGTGATAAGATGTAAGGTTCTGTTGGTTCAGGCCTACCACGAAAGTAAATGATGAAGAAAAACGAAGTAGCCTGAGGCTTGTGTCGTCCTAAGGAAAAGTACAGTAGATCCAGGCCAGGAACAGGACTCGATCTTCAGAGGTAATATAATGAGACAAGCAGGAAAGAACGGAAGTACTCACGTTACGTCCGTGACATACTGACTGAAGAACTTACTGCGGCGAGCCTTGTTCGCATCGTCATGCTGGCGGCGTGCAGAGCTCTGGTGGGCGGAGCAGAGGCAGAGGGACTTTCGTGCACATTAGCACCACCCTCTCGCGAGAAAGTGTGGCAAAGAATAGAATCTTTCTGTTGATCTGGAGAGCCATGTGCATGCGAGTGTGGTCAGAGCAGAAGCGATAGAATGCTGATGAATGCTTGATAATAATGCTGATGGTTGTGATGTGGTGGGAGGAGGATGTTTCGCGAGCCGCCAACAGTAGTGAGAGCTCAACAGGAACAAGATCAGCGAGCGGGGAACGTGCCGTCCGCCGCTGAGATGGACCGTGCCCGTCCCCGTCCCCGTCCCCGTCCCCGTGAGCTTGTCGTTTGCCAAGAGTCCGCTGTGTGTCCTCCGTTTCTCTTTCCCCTTTTCTTGCACATGAATTGTCCACGCTCTTTTCTCATTGACCTGTTCGCAGTCGCACTTGCAGTCGCTTCACCTGGTCCTTCAGCTCAGCGCCATCTTACGTCTGCCATACACCCATTGCTATTCGAAGGAGGAGGCTGGCTAAGTCCAGTATTGCAAGTTGAGCCGCAGCAGCTCTGACAACCGAAGCTCTCCCGATCCGGACACAGTGCTTGGCGAGCGGGCGGCCTCGTTGGACGGGTTGAGCTCCTCTGACAGATGGCTGTCGCGTGAGGGTGGTCAGCTCTCGACGCCTGAAACGTTGCGAGGCTCGTCGCTTTTGCATTCATCCACTGCCAGAAGGCTCTGCGTTGAGATAAGTCGAACGTTGGGCAGCTGCCAGCCTGTCAGTCGTGGCAGTATTGGAAGATCCGCTCAAACGAGAGCAAACGATGGACTGACGTGACTGGCCCTGTCTCGGAATCTTTTGGTCTCCTGGCAGTCTCCTGGCTTGGGGATGCTATGATCTGTTATCCTACCATCGTGCTCCCGGCCATACAGTCTATCTGCCGTACAGCTAGAGCGATCCCAGTCGGCAGCCCTCTAGCGTTTTCTGGGAATTAGAGAGGCCGATATTTCCGGACGTAGAACTCAGAAGCGCTGTTCCAGCCTCAACTTGGGACTCGTCGTGGCATCGGCGTCGGTGAGCTCCAGCTGTACGAACACGAAAATTCGATAGACTGGCTGACTGCTCAATTGATCCGAGGGGTTTTGCTGGTTCTGAGATTGTGAAATGGTTTCTGGCATATTTACCAACCGCGGCGATGTGTGCGAGGAGGTACATTGGTCGCAATTGACGTCCATTCTAGTCCCTGATCTGTTAAGGTGGAAGGAGAGTACATGTAGATGAGAAGATAAATGTTGCGTGTTGAGGTATTCGGATTCGTGGTCGATGGCTCGGTTCCACCTGATGCGAAAAATTGCGGCGATATCGACACATCCAGATCACAGGATTGTAAGACCCATGAGCCCAACGAAACTGAGTAGAAGACTGTGGACTGATGCAGGAATGGAAGAGACTTGTGTTCTCGGGCAGACGTACGCGCAGACGAGCCAGAATACGTGTCAGCTTGCTGCACTGCCACGAAGTCGTCTTAGTGGTATGATGACCAATGAACGCTGCCGACCTCGCTTGCATGTTGGGTGTAAGCTATTACCCTAGACTGACCTTGAAGGAGCAATAGGAAAGAAGGGCTCAATGATGATGCGTCTTATTACTTACCTGAATAGACGTCGAAACATCACAATGACAGGTCATGAGCTCAAGCCGTATCCCATCGCCAATGAAGACAAGACACGAATTTTAGAAAACGATCATCACTATGGCCACTATGATATCCAAGACAACGACCTTTTTGAACCTTGCCCACCCAATCCTTCACTTTCGGAAGAGAAGCAACCTTTGACACTCCGAGCTATTCTGGCAGGCTGGGCGCTAGGAGCTGGAGTCGTATCTCGGTATCAGCGTCGACTTACACCATTCCGTATCTCGTCATGTTTATTCACCATCACAGGTCTCAAGACTGGCTTCACTAATGATGCCGGCACTGTTCTCACAACTCAAGCATGTTCCATTGATCGGCCGAGTCTTCTGACCGAAAGAGCACTGTATCATACAATCTGTCCCCAATCCAACAGCAGGGCTCAGTATCATCTTCACAGCAGCTATTCCTGCGATGTTTTAGGTCCTCTGGGTGCCTCGTCCCATCGTCTTGATGCATTGAAGCAGCAATCTCGAGCCTGATTAAGTCGGCTTTGGCGTGATCTTGCTTGTCGTCCAGCTTCTTCCATTGTTATCCGCATGCTTTTCCGATGAGCGAAAGCAAAATGTGTATCACTGGTGTTGTTCCATTGGCTCTATGAATGCCGAGGCGGGGCTAGGATTGCCCTTGTCCGAGACTTCGAATCGTCATCGCTGCAACTGCGTGAGTAAAATTCAATTTTTTGTTATCATTTTCTTCCACGCGCTGACCGCAGGTGTTCTACGGACGCGACTTGACGCCTCCCTGCTCAAATAACATCTCTCGCACCCCGATGGCGCGCATCTTGGCCAGTGGCTGCGATACCGCGTCACCAGAATCCTCCACCTGGTACTCAGGAGTAGATGCCGCGATGCACGCAGGATAGCCGTTGAGCGAACATGGAAACACGACTTAAGTGCCACCGTAACGCACTCATTCAGATGACCGAGACGTTCAGCGGGGCTCTCGCCTTTCCGTCACTGCCATCAGCCTCCAGGCGAGCACAGAACTGGTGTTACCGCTCACTCTCCGAATGCATCCTTCACGACGAGTTCTGCGAAGCGACCACGCATAGGACGAGACACGTTTGGCTAGAGCCTTCTATGAAAAGTGTCAGCCCGGCTATAGCCAACATCGTCGTATGGCGCATATCGAAGCCTTGCATTCCAAGCTGCCTGACGAAGTGCTGGCTTGATGGCGAGGCATACATTGTGATTTTCTCAAAGATCGCATGGTTGCTCTTCCATTGACACTGGTTAGTTCAGGCACTCGTGCTACATCAATCTGGCTGATATACAACCTCTGCTGATTCATGATTGTGCAGGGCTGGAATCGGACTGAATTACGATCGCCACCGGACGTCAGATCTGCCTGAGTATGCCGAGACCTGACACCACGTTCGCGAGCATTCTCGAGCCCTGTGTGCAAGTGTGGACCTGACAATCAGTGCTCTTGCGTCAGCTACATGGCAATAGCTTGCGCGGCAATTTCCAGCCGAACGACTTGGCTGGACAGGAGGAGGCTGGCAGGAGGTGTCGTGCCGCATGTTTTATCGGACAGTCGACGTATGAAGGCATGTGGTCTCATCACAACCTAGTTTTGCAGACAGCTCAAGATCGACCGGAAGAGTTCCCCCCGCACATTGCGCGAAGAAGATGAGGCGATCGAGGGCTTCATCAAACCCTTCGGCTGCCCGTGACTGGCGTCATTCTTGTTGATGAATGGAAGTGTGCGCTGGTCGAATTGTGGCCGCCGGAATCACCAAAAGACCTACAGTATTTGATGCTCATGGGCAGTTTTGCTCATCCAAGACCCCCGAAACACGCCCGTCTGAATGTATCACGGACATTCACGGACATTCACGGGCATCCAGTTCTCCTCCTTGCCATACCATGGTCTGCTGTCGGTACCGAATATGAGAAGCAGCAAGACTGCGTGGCATTTCTCGAAACTGTGGAAGCTTTGGCGGCCCGACGGAAGTTTGCGCCAAACTGAACCTCAGACCTGACCACTCTCGGCCACTCCTTGATAAGTGTGTCGTAGGCGGACCATGGACTGTGTATGCCGGATTAGTATTGCCACCGTGAAACATGCCCACATGCTGCCTCACATGAACATCCAATATTACAAAGGGGGACCCAGGCAAGAGGAACCTCCACGCTTGAGACCTCAACAACCATTGATCATTTACGCAGAACGTTTGGTCAGGCCAATTTCCGCGCCCGCTGCTGTTTGATACGATCGAGCTTTGCTGTGAAAGTTGACGTGTAGTCCTCGTAGCAAGGCCGCAGAAGTCCGTTCCACGTACTATGTTGCGCAGCTGGGTACTCCCGGTGAGCATGAAGTTGGTTGTTGCCAAGTGTTGGACCGCACGGGATGTTCGCCTTTGCTTCCTAGTCAGCCGTTCGTCGATCACTTGCAGGGTACATATGCAAGAGCTGCAAACATCCGAGAACCTAGACTGCGCCTCAGACAATCGCATGGCCATTCGCTGCTTGCTGGAGAATTCCAGGGTCAGCGCCTTACAGTCAACTTGCCTGCAGGGACATAGCATTGTCGCTTCGGTTGAGCTTTTCCTGGACATGTTCCATGTCGAAGGCAAACCCCTCACTCTCGCGAGGACCGACGATCGACCAGTGGTTCCACATCGTGGATCGATAGACTGTGCCTGATGATGCCGCCACAGGCCGAAACACTACACGTGCTACAGCCGAGCTACCAGACGTTGGAAGGCTGTCATGGCTTATTAGACCACGCGGGGACCACAGTTCCAGTCGAAGCGTACCAAAGTATCACACCAAACTTCAGCTCATCCCGATTTGGACGAATGATATCTTGGTACACTACTATCGGATCAGCGAAGCTGCAGGATCTCCAGGATTGCTGTCAGTGATGTATGCTCCTTGTTCCCTCTTATTCAAGCCCGCAAGTCCGCATTCCTTGCGTGGCACCGCTCTACTGACTAGCTATCCTTCTTCACCATTGCACGGAGGAAAGACTATTGACAACAGCCATTCAGAACATGGATCAAGTCCACACACATGCACGTCGTCAGCCGACATACATACCCGCAGATCCTGGACGTTTTGAAGGCGGCAATGCAACAAGCTTTGCAGATGATAGAAGACGACGTCCGGAGCCGTCGTCGCCATACGAACCTTCTGCAGGCCATCAACGAAAGCATGCGCAACCACAGCAGGGAACAGCATTTGCAAACTATCAGGCCATGTCGCGTACTCTCCCTCGTCTCGACGAGCTATTCGCCTCAGAACAACTCATTGCACCTGGCAAGACAGCACCGAGTCGAGCCAGTGAGAAACAAACCGAGACCTCAAAATCACCTGGGAGCTCGATAAGAGTCGATGGATACCCCGGAGTCTCCTCGTCGCTTGATCAGTATGCTCTGTCCCGCAAGAGCTGTCACCAGGGCTCAGATGCTTCCACACGAAACTCCTATCGCTACGACGACCGTTACCACAAGGACCGTAGACCGACGAATCCTCCTTCGACTGGTGCATATGACCCTGTAAGACAATTGAACGGACACGCAGCATATCAGCCACAAGCTGTCGAAAAGGACTCCGTTCGAGGGACAGATCGAGCTATCCGCGTAAACGAGCTACTCAATCACTGCGAACCCGCTCGTCGCAACACTCCCTCTCACATCGACATTAGCCCTTTCCCAGTCAGCGAGGACCTTCCTCCCTCCGATCGCCATGACAGTCCTATCGAGGACAAGTCCTTCGCATGCAACCCCACTCCCGCGTCAGCCTTCACTCCCGCAACATATGTCTACCAAGCGGCAGCGTACGAGGGAATCCAAGACGTCCCAGGCATCGGCCCACACCACTTTTACAAGGGAGGGTTATGTATACCGACACACGTTTACGGTGAAGCCGTCAACCCCCTGTGGGGTCTGACGAGAGGCAAAGTCCCACGAAAGCGTTTGTCGGTGGCTTGCCAGACGTGCAGGGCTAAGAAGATTCGTTGTGAGCCGTCGTTTGGTGGATGTCTGCAGTGTAAAAAGGCGGAGAAGCCTTGTCGCGTGTAAATCTTTTCTCCCTTGCGCTTGGTTGGTGCGATGGTTTTTTTGATGCTGACGATGTGGTAGGGAGCCTGTGAGGAGGAGACGACTGAAACGGACGGAGTCGCCGGAGACGGAGGATGGGAGGAGGGGGTCGCCGTTGTGAGAATTCTGAGGATTGGGGGGTGGGGACGGACTTGACGGAAAGAAGCGATGGTGATTGAAGGACGCTCGCGACAGGTGTATTGTATCCAACAAGAAGTAGCATATTCTCGTGTTGGCACTACTGTATCCGCGCGACTGCGAACTAGTGCGGAGAATTTCGAAAGCCTACACGCTAGCGACGTCGCTGCTACTGAAGTCAGTCTCGTATGATTTCGATGAACAGCTCATCCATTGACGCAAGATGCAGGATTTCTGCTCTAATTCACAAAAACAGGCTTAAGTCACTACCGCGAAGCTACGAGCTACAATAGCAAGCGCTCAGACAACGTGTCGGGGCCTTCTTTTTATCGAGCAGTTCAATCGGCGTTGTACTCTGCGACCAATGAACGATATATAGATGATCCACTCCAACGACGCCAACGAGCTTGTGGTGTTACAACTGCGTACTACTCCCGGAGACTACCGACCGGCTTGCGTGTCTTGGGACCATAAAAATTTCCCGATCTCGCCGACATCAGCCGCCATCACGTCTGCCCTTGATTCTGTCGGCGATACCAGTCATTCCCCTCCCCGCTCGTGGTGGTGATGCCACTCCAGACAGAAAAGAACGCTTCACCTGGCGCAGGAGGATGCTTTCCGCCGTCAGCGAACCAAAATCTCATCTTACACGTCTTGCTCACCTTGTTTCGATCCGGGCAGACTCCATCGCTCTCGTCCACGTCCGTGAAGGTGGGAGTGTGTGCTGAGCGGCAGAAGGCGACTGGTTGTCGATTCAATGCTTCTTCGCAGTACTGTCTTCTGATGACAAAATGTCCGCACTTTTTCCTGCCGCTGGTCAGTGCTGACTCTCGTGGACCAAGTCAAAACACTCACCACGTGATCGTGTTGCTGAAGCACATTATTGTTGACTGCTAGCCAACAAGGCGGTTGAATTTCCAGCAAAGTACAGGCTGAATTATTGTAGGACATGTTCCTCCTTGTGTGGGTTCCGAAATGGGCGTTTGCTAACTACTCGGCTCGCGCGCTCCACTGCACGTTCTGAGCCTGGTGACAGAGTATGCAAAGGCTGCGCCAAACGTGCTGCGAGGCTGACATATCGCGGCGTCTCTAGCAGAGCATGTGGGAAAGCTTCGGCAGTGCGATAATGGCCCCGAAATCGAACAGGTGTTACAACGAATATTGTATCGTTGCCCAACTAGCATCCCTAGCACGACCAGCGGCTTTGCCAATCACAGTGGTAGCAGTTCTATCCAGAGGGAGCATGAACTCCGGTGGAAATAACAGTAGTGGAGGCAAAGCAGAAAAGCGTCGGTAGAATGTTACCTGCCTGGCTGCCTCGAGGAGGCATGTCAATACCATCCCTGTCGGTTCGCCCACCCGCTTGTGACTTTCAACGCACGCCAGCTGCAGCAATACCCGCATCCCCAAAACGCGCGATCTCTCTAGAGGAGGGAAGATTGGAGATGCAACCTTTTTTCTTTCGGAAGGAGTCCACCCCTTAAGCTTGGAGTGGGAGAAGCTGCTTTGGTCGTTCAGAAGCAAGATCAGCGCCGCCCAGCTTCGCCCGAGGGCCAAGCAAAGGAACGTAGTAAGTAGTCTGGACTCTGGACGGCCTGTACGCGGTAGATCCACGCTTTTCCGTCGCCATACCCTGCTAGACGCATGTCTCTGCGTGCGCTGGCCCGGCAGCCATGCGGCACGCGCAGTGATCTGACAAGCACGCAAGCACGTGGAGCCGACTGCCGAAATTGTGTTCTGCTTGACTGCTGAGGTACATCGTGTTCTGTGAGCGCTGACTGTGCGGATGCTCCGGTGGGCCACTTCTTCATCGGAGCCTCGCCTCGCTATTCGAGCGGCCGTAGGCAAAGGCTCACGGTCAAGCGTCGAGAGAGAAGCACGCCGATCCATGTCGTAATCGGCCCGTACAAGCGTCTAACGAATTGCTGTAGGTAGCAGTGCAAGGCAATGTCCCTTTACAGTTCACATGGGACTTGGTTGTTGCCAAGATATTGGGCATTCTCACCGGGCACGCTATGGCAACGTGCAGCGTGAGACGGTTGACCATTCGATGCGGAGGAGGTATGGTTTGGTAGCGTAGCCTGCTCTTGCTTCTGAGGTGAAGGGCGCGTCGCTGCGCGGGCAGATCTTGTGGTCACTCCAGCACCGCCCGACCCGCTGATTCCAGGGCGGCAGGTACTTTCGCCCTTTTCCTACACATGCCGCTTGCTTCAGCACTCGCCGCATATTCTATCGAGGACAGGTCCGGTTGGTGCAAAGTCATCGGCATGCTAGAACTACGCCCCCACGATCTCGCGGCACGATGGGGTGCGGTGCGGTGACTTGTGACGAGTCAGTGGTCACCTTACGGCCTGAGGTGCCCCAAACTCTGTCGCCCCGGCCAGACCTCGCCGGCGTTCATCGTAGCTGCCCGTCCTTGACTCCCGGCACCCGGAACCACCGGGCCGCTCGACAAGCAAGCAAGTGCCAAGGCAAGCCGTCGGGGCGCCGTGGAGCTTGTGTGACCTTTGCTGCAATCATTATCCTCCCCACTCACCACCACAAGTCGTCTCGATTTTCCAGCTCCGAGTGTGTGCGTGTCAGTGTCACACATGTTATGCTGTCACGTGCGGGACGACCATACGGCGCACAAGACCGCGCACATCAGCTTCTTCGCTATATAAGGCCATAAGGGTGGCACGGCGATCCGTCGTCGCCAAGCTCTCCACGCCAATCGACACTCGCATGCAGGCAGCTCCTTCGCTCCTGAATCTTATCGCCCTTTGTGAGTCCTTCTATGCATGCTTGAGAACCTGTAGTTCTAGCAATGGCGCCAGTGGCCGCAAGCCTGGCGCAAAGCGAATCGAAAAAGAGGTTCTTCGACCGATTGGGTCTTGATGAGCGCAACAAACTGCATCGCCACCTGTATTCATCTATGAAGGTATGATTCCACTCGCCCGCTGGCAACCGCTGTTCGCTGAACCTGTGTGTCTAGGCAGAAGCTGTGAACAGCTGGTCAAGGATATCCGCAAAACGAGATGCGCTCATTCCACAACTAAGGCATGATCCTTCTGTGGAACCTCCCTACACCTTTGGACAAATCGACGAAGAAGCCATACACAACGAAGTCATCAGGATCTACAACGACGCTCGAAAAGACACCCGAATCATGTATGAACTTGGTCGCGACCGCGACGGCGACCATGAAGAAAACTGGATTATCAGATGGCTTCTCTGGCACGTGTTTCGTTACCGGGATGATAGGAACAGTAGTAACACCCGACGGCGCAATGCTGATGAACCCGACGCAACCTCGGATGGAACTTCAGATGCTGCCGACATGGGCTCTACTGTCGAGGCGGCCGCCAACGTGACCCAGCAGGTCATTGCAGATGCACACAGTGACCAGTCAACGCCACAAGCCATGCGGTCACCTCCGCCCTCGACCGCCGCGAATTCTGCCTCTTCTTCCTCGCGATTCTTCGACCCAGTTCGAGACCAATTCAGGACTTGAGGACGACTTGCGCTCTGGAACGCACTGGCAATGCGGCTCGCGGCTCATGGCTTGCACTGCATCGTGGAGGCGGAGGCTTGAAGTTCATACGTGGTCAAGATGATCTGGAGGTTAATGGCCACTCGCCTGCGAGTCGAACAGAATCAACGCTTCGATCTCTACTCAACGCAACAGCACGATTCGAAGCGGCCTATACTACCCGAACAGCGACCTGAAAGTCCAGCATGGCCAACACGGCCAACACGGCCAGAAACTCATGTTCGCGTTTGAGGCAACAATGCCAAGACTGTCTTGTTGGCGTGTCGTTCATCGCACATCGCACATGCTCGGACCGAGGAGGCGGTATGCGCGGAATTACGGAATAGCTAGACCTTGGCCTTTTTGAAAGGACTATTCCTACGACTTAGGTTACACATCGAACCCTAACGAATTACAATCTAAACAATCGTCCTACGAAAGTTATATCGTTAGCACTAGCTAGATCTCTTAATCTATATAATATAGATTAGATATTAAGGATATCTCTAGTAACCTAATCCGAGTTCTAGTAAGCCTTCGGAATTTATATTAATCGTAGCCTTAACCTAAAGATATAAACTTCTTCTACATTTTCGTACTATATATATATTAGTAGATCTCTTAATACTATTATAGACCTCGCTATATTTATCTAGTACTCGTATTTTTAGAAGACTAAATATCGACGATACTAGACTACGCTTATTATTACTCTAAGCGTAGCTATAATTTCTACTTCTATATAAAAGAAATAGTTATTAAACTAGAAATATCTCTAGAAATTTTTAAAGATAGTACGCGTAACGCGTCTTACGCCGACTCTATACTACTTACGAAATAGGATTATTAGTATATTATAAAAGATAGATAGGCCGAGACTTTCGCTCTATTTAAGTCTTTTATAAAGGAAGTATTAAAGTAAGGAGATACTACTATTATACGTTGTTTGTATTATATTACTAACTATTATAAGTAGACGAAATCCTTACTTATCGTCTTGTTTTTATTAGTAGATTAAGGTTTTCTTCTACTACTTTCTTTTAGAATACGACTTTTATATTAAGTACTTTCGAGGATATTACGACTACTATTCTAGATATATAGGTTCGGGCGAGAAGAAGGTAAGGTAAGATAGAGATCGACTTTAAGAACTAGAAGGCGTAACTACTAATAAATCGCTACTTAAGGCGTAGATAGATTTGACTCACGGCAGGTACGTGCAGCTCTCAACTTACACTCAGCGTCCAGTTCCTGCCCTCACATCAATCATCGCCAAGATCTCTCACAAGATGCGGCTCCTTCCGTACGCCTATCTGCTGCAGAGTAAAAGCTTCGCCAGCTGACGGCCACGGCCACGGCCACGCCCCGCCGTAAGCTGTACCTACCTTGTCATGTCAACGAGCGTCGAGCGATATGCAGATAAAGTTGCCGACGGCCAGAGAGGACAACGTGACGCTCCATGCTGTTTCACGCCATGAACTTGGCTAGCACATTGTATAGTGACCCATGGTTTTAACGATGAGCGATTAATCTCAACTCATAGTCAAGAACATGCAGTTACAGTTACGATTGGACCTGGGCGCCTTGACCACACAGCAGCAGGTATTCACAGATACCCTTCTTCCACTGGAAACGATCTTAGCACGAGAAAGATGGACACTTCAGATGACATTGATCTTGCCATTATTGGCGCCGGCTGGCATGGCATCACAATGGCAAAGACATATCACGCGGTCTATCCAAATGCCTCGATAATGATTCTCGATTATGCAACAACTCTCGGCGGAACCTGGGCTGAAGATCGTATCTACCCGACTCTCAAGACCAATAACATCTGGGGATCTTATGAGTTCAGCGACTTTCCCATGTCTAGAGAGAAGTATGGAGGTCAAGATGAAAAGAACATTCCTGGACGTGTGATGCATCAGTATCTTTGTGATGCAGCAAAATATTTTGACATTGAGAAGTATGTGCGGTTGGGGAGGAAGGTCGAGGAAGTGAGATTGAGGGATGGAGATGGGGGGTGGGAAGTGAATTGGAGAGGAGTAGATGGCAATGAAGAAGGAACGATCGTGGCGCGGAGATTGGTCCTGGCAACGGGATTGACCAGCGAGCCGTTCGTACCAGATTATCCTGGACAGGAAAAGTTCAAGGGCCTAATGATACACTCGAAACAGCACACTGCTCGGGCTTCAGAGCTGGCTCGGGCCGAAAACGTCGTCATAGTCGGCGGCAATAAATCAGGCTGGGACGTGGCATACTCCGTCGCACGATCAGGTGGCAAAGCACACATGCTCATGCGACCTTGCGGTGCCGGACCAAACTACGCGTGGCCACGTCTGTACAAGTTTCTAGGAAAGACTTCGTCGATAGCATCACTATCTTTGACAAGATTCTGGACACTCTTCGATCCCTGGCCATTCCAAAAAGACGGCACCCTTGGGACTAGCTGGCTGAGAACATTCTTACACACATACTGGCTCGGTCGCTGCATCACAGCTTTGTTCTGGAAATATCTTCACTCTCGCAACATAGCTTGCAATGGTTTCAACAAAGATCCTCAAGTCGGCCTCCTCGCACCCTGGAGTTCCCCATACTGGATGGGAGGATCCCTAGGCACATTGAACTACGACACAGACTTCTTCTCCGAAGTCAAGAAAGGCAACATAATCCCCTACCACGCCGAACTCCAAAGCATCGAATCCCACTCCGTCCACATCTCACCCACCCCCCAAACCCTCTCCAACATCGACGCAATCGTCCTCTGCACCGGCTGGAAACCCGTCTCCCCCATAAAAATCTCCCCTCCAGACCTCCTCAATTCCGAATCCCTCGAATCCAAATCCCTCTCTACCCACCTCCGCCACAAGATCCTCCAACACTGTCCTGACCTCGCCAACCCCCCTCGCCCTCACATCCCCTCTCAGGAAGTTACAACCCCCCTCCGCCTCTACCGCTTCCTCGTCCCCCCATCTCTATATGATCTCCGCTCCTTCGCAGTCCTAGGTCTAAACTACACCCTCCAAACCCCCATCGTCTCACAAACCCAAGCATTATGGATCACGGCATATTTCTCCTCCCACCTCCAATCCCAACGCCAATCCCAATCTTCCATCCTTACTTCCACCCTCCTCCACACAACCTACGAAATTCTCCGAAGACCGAAATCGGGCAGTGGATTTGGAGACAAACATCCGGATTTGGTGTTTGATAGTTTGGGGTATGTGGATTTGTTGCTGGGGGATTTGGGGGTGAGGAGGAAGAGGAAGGAGAGTTGGTGTCAAGAGTGGTTTGGGGTTTACGATTTGAGGGATTATAGGGGACTTGTGGAGGAGTGGAGGGAGGGGGTTAGGAGGAGGGAAGAGGAAGATGGGAAAAGTAAATGAGGGAGATGAGTGGGGGAGGGAGGGATGGAGGGAGGGGTGGGTGAATGCGATAGAGGTCTGTTATGAATGGATGGTTGATTTTCTTTGAGGATTTGCGGAGAAAGAAGGCAGGCATTGTGAGTGGGAAGGGTGAGAGGGAGAGATTTCGGGGGCGAGAAGATGCTCACGAACGAATCTAGTGCTGAGGAGGACTTTGGAGGAATTTCAAGGCTCTTCTCGAGATTGCTTGGAGATTTACGAGCAATGACTTTGGCGTTGATGAACTGGCTTGAGACGACCAGTCTAGGGAGTTTGAGAAGTATGGAGTTCATATGAGTGAAGCATAGACGGGTTGCGTGCATGCCACTTCCGAACATGCCCACGTGCAAAGTGAGCTCTGCCAAACTTACGAATTTTGCATGTGAGAGCTCATATCTCAGCTCACTTCCATCGCTTCGAAGTGAGCTGGATAGATCTTGTTCAACTTTCCATCTTTTCTCTTCTTCATATACAACATTGCCATCTACCATTTGCATACGACCGCAATACCATCAACATGACCTTCCGCTTCTTTCACCTACCACGCGAGATCCGTGATAGGATATACTGCCATCTACGCACCGTCGGATCCTTCTCTCTCGAGCGCTACGACGGAGATGTTATCAAAGCGTCGATCGATGTCAAGGTCTCTCCTTTGCATCTTCTGGTCAGCAAGCAATTTAAGAATGAATTTGTCGCGGTCGTCTTCTCTGGCGCAACACTCGCTCTCGGTCCCACCTCTCTTTATCAAGAAAAAAGACATGTGCTTCCGGCCCTGATTATTGATAATGTCAAGACTTGCAAGGTCGACTTCTTCGTTCCATATGGAGTTCATAAGGTGCAGAAGGAAGTTCGGCTCAACACTATTTGCGATGCGGATGTTTTCCTTGATTTGCCAATTGAGGAAGGAGAGCGGATTGGCGACGTACTGGACTTTGACGACGACCAAGACGAAGAGGGCGAGGATTTTGAGGACGTATCAGAACCAGAGACCGAATGGGAAGACACTGTTGAAGGGCTGGATTTCTCAGATTGTGAAGATGCTGACGTAGGGCAAACGACTCCAGCTCCGGCCTGGCTCTTTCGTCGTCTTTCGCAGCTCCGTGCTCTTCAATCTGTCGAGCTCATCGTCACATCCGGCGAGCCAATGCCTGCTCGTGAGGACGATGGCCCAGCCGACACCTTGCAGCTCATTGCAACCGAGCTGAAAGATCTGCTTCGGGTTCCATTATTGAGCAAACTCGACGCTCGTCGCGTTGTTGTCAAGGATTACGGCTTTCACGACACCAAGTTCGCTGGTGTTCAGCGCTGCGGAATCTGGACGGCAGAATCTGGTTGGAGGATTCCCGAAGAGGTGCAGGCCGCTGGGCTGGAACTTGGGACGGATGAGTGCACTGGATGGAGATGTGGTGACCCGACATGCCTTGGAATTGGCAGTAAGCATCCAGTGAGTGTTGTCTATCCCGCTTGATCATGCTGATCAGGCCAAGATCTGCTGACATATTAACTCGCAGTATCCGAGGAAGTGGTTCAAGACTCCTCAGCAGGTGGAGAGGGAGTTGGGCAAGCAGAGAGAATGAAGCATATTGCATATGAGTAGGGAAGAAGTCATGACGCGATTTTACGATTAGAATCTGAGGATGTAGCTTGTCCTAGGCTCTTGGGCACATCTGTCCCACATCTATTGGCTGCGAGGGCATCAGAAAAGTTAGCGTCAGAGATGGGTTTGAGTCCCGCAGCGATGGCACCAGATTTCTCATAGTCGTCTGTTGCTTGGGGGCTCGCGGCACTCCCATGAATGCATTATACCTCCAACTCTCAACTGAGTCGCCGCTCTTTCATCACGACGTTTCTGCTCGTGACCTGTGCAATGGTGTTCGGGGGTGGTAGGGTGATCGTGGTTGAAAGGGTCATGCAGATGCTTCCCATCTGCTGAAATACGGCGCCGGTACTCGTCATTCAAGGAGTGTTTTAGTGAGAACAGTCAAGCTGAAGTTCGTTGTGATTTCGCGCCAAGGATGGCGCTCGGAGACAAGGGTCCACCGGCTAGTAAGCGAAAACCTTATCGGCTCTAGCAAATTCAGCGCACTCAAAAGTTCTCTACGCTCTCTGCCGTCTGTTCTGCATTGAGATCCCGTTCATCCTCTCGATACACCACACACAAAATGGCCGACGAAGTGTACGATGGTGCCATCGGCATCGATCTTGGAACCACCTACTCGTGCGTTGCCAACTACGAGGGCGCCGGCGTTGAGATCAGTATGTGCGAAAAGGCGGGCGAGCAGCATTGAATATTATCCTAACCACATTTTTCGCAGTCGCCAACGAGCAGGGAAGCTTCACCACCCCATCCTTCGTCTCCTTCACCGCCGAGGAGCGTTTGATCGGTGAGGCCGCCAAGAACAATGCCGCCATGAACCCAGTCAACACCGTTTTCGATGTCAAGTGAGTGCGCAAGCAATGCAAGAGGCGGTGGAGAGACATACTAATGCGCCTTGACTATAGGCGTCTCATCGGACGTCGATTCGACGACCCAACCGTCAAGAAGGATATCGAGTCGTGGCCATTCAAGGTCGTTGACGATGACAACAACCCAAAGGTCCAGGTCGAGTACTTGGGCGAGACCAAGACCTTCTCGCCACAGGAAATCTCTGCCATGGTTCTCGGAAAGGTCAGCATAGCGAGAAAGATGGAAGTTGGGATCGCAGACTGACACCGTGCAGATGAAGGAGGTTGCTGAAACCAAGCTCGGCAAGAAGGTCTCCAAGGCCGTCATCACTGTCCCAGCCTACTTCAACGACAACCAGAGACAGGCTACCAAGGACGCCGGTGCTATCGCTGGCCTTAACGTCCTCCGTATCATTAACGAGCCTACCG